CTCTCGTAAAGATTAATAGCCTCAGAAACCCTGTACAGGACTGCTATGAGTCGGAAGCGACTCCACGGCACATAATAACAATAACAAGCTCTGCAATGCCATGGAGAAAGACTTCCATCTAGGTTAGTGCTCAAGTTTAATATATACATTAATCACCTAGACAAGTTGTCAAAATACAAATTCTCTTTCAATAAGTGTGGAGTGGGGTTATAGACGCCTATTTCTAACAAACTCCCAAAAGCTGCTGATGCTTCTGGGTCTACCAAAAATCTTTGAGCAGCAAGGATCTAGGTCACTTCACATCACTGAATGAGCACCTTTACTCAGACTTGGCCCTTTGTTCTAACATATATACAAATATGTTTGAAGCAAGTTAAAGTTATGTAGGAGTCCTGGTGTGACACTGTGGGTTTATGAGCCAGACTGCAAAGCACTGATTTCCACAACCTTGAACTGCAAGGTTGGCAATACAAGCTCACCAGCTGCTCCTCGGAAACCCTAAACAGCGTCGCTATGGGTCGGAACTGACTCGATGGCACTTAACAACAACAAAGTTATGTAAGTGGTAGGATGGCATATACCTTCAACATGCTTTTAAATAATTTTTTCCCATCGTGTCATTCAAATACACTAATTTACACCATACCTATGAACCTCCTACTCCATTGTGAATTAATTTTACATTGGCTGGGGCTGTGGAGCACATTACTCCTACCATTCCTTTAGCCATTTCCATGCACTTTTATAAGAAGGAAGCGCAAGGAAATAAACCTATCAAAACTAAAATAAAACCAGTAATACGAAATATCTTATTTCATGAATTCTTAACAAATAGGATGGGAAAATACCTTATTTATTTGGTTTGGAAATCAACCTTATTCATGACACCACCACAGGTGAATCAAGATCTCCTGACATGATGAAAAAAAAAACAAACCGGCTTTGTTTTTATGAGAATTAGATACTGTGGGTCTCCACAAAGGGGAGATTAAGGTTTATAGCAATGGCTCTCAATTTTTAGTGAACTACAGAACCACCTAGTTTCTTAAAACAAATTGTTGGGCCCCAACTAATTCAGAAAGTCTAGGTGGTGTCTCAGTACCTGCATTTTTTCATAAATTCCCAGGTGATGTTGATACTACAGACTTTGAGAACTGCTGGTTTAGAGCAATGTTTCCCAAAGCGTAACAAGGAAAGAACTGGTCACAAGCTTGTTCTTTGATACAAAATTTTACGGAGAAATACGTAACTATGTTTGGCAAAAACTATATACTACAACAACTCCCTTTTTCAACATTCACCTTGTTTGTTAGGTGCCATCAAGTTGGTGTCAACTCAACGACTATATGCATAACAAAACAAAACAGTGCCTAGTTCTGTAACAATCTCACAATCGTTATGCCTCCGCCCATTGCTACTGCCACTGTGCCAATCCATCTTGGAGGTCTTCCTCCTTTTTGCTGACCCTCCACTTTACCAACATGACTTTGAGGAGGCAGTTCTTCCAGAATCGTATATTGACTAGCTCATCTCGCAGCACTACGTTGTTGTTAAGTGCCTTTGAGTCAGTTCTGACCCATAGCGACCTTATATAGGATTTCTGAGGAGCAGCTGGTGAGCATGAACTGCCGACCTTGCAGTTCAAACCGACTCTGCAGTCCAGCGCATTAACCCACAGCGCCACATCAGGACTCCCCAGCACTATATCTGACAGTATTCTGGTGCTGATAGCATGCTTTTCGTAACGTTTTCATTGACTAAATATTTGGAAGTAGTCCATCTCTTAGTCTAGAAGCTCAGCTGAAAGTTTTCTGCCATGGGTGACCTTGCTGGTATTTAAAATACCAGTGGCATAGCTTCCAGGCTCCTAGCAACATGCAAGTCAGCACAGTACAACATGCTGACAGACAAGTGGTGGATCAGAGCCTTTGGAAAACTCAAAAGCACCACAATAAAGAGATCTCATTTGTCCATAGAATTCTTTATGTTAAATAATACTAGAATGTAGAACATACTTTTAAAAACTCAAGAAATTAAGTAAGATCACACTACTAGAAAACAGCAGGACTGGGATTATAATTTAGCTATTGTGATTCCTCACCTCTTTCATTATTCCAAATCAAAGAAAATCCGTGCCTGTCTCCTTTTGCTAAATATATAAGTGTAAAGCAAAGTACACTAAGGCTTAATTCAGACTTCCTAAATAGTAACTTTATTGACATATAATTCACATACCATAAAATTACTCTCTTGAAATATTGGTGGTTGAAAAACACCACTTCAAGGTTTTTATGGTTGTGTAACCACAACCATTATCTAATTTCAGTCTATTTTTCATCACCCCCCCCCAAAAAAAAAAAAAAAAAAAACAAAAACAAATACCTCACAACCACCTCTACCTCTCACCTATGTACTTAATCCAAGGAAATGATCTACTTTCCACCTCAATGCACTTGTCTATTGGGGAAATTTCATACAGATGGAATTACACAATACATGGTCTTTTGTGTGTGGTTTCTTTCTTAACATTTTCAAGATTTGTCCATATTTTCAACACATTAAAACTTCATTCCTTTTTACTGCTAAATAACATTCTATGTATCAATAAGTCACATTATATTTAATCATCCATCAGTTAGTTGATGGACATTTGGGTTGTTACAACTATTTTATGAATACTATAATTCACACACTATTATGAATATTGTATCCTATGAATATTCACAAGATTGTATTATTAAAGGTAATGAGTTTTTGAATTGTCTTTACCAAAATTTTACTTGCATATAGTATTAATGACCACATTCCACTGGGTCTTTATGTTTAACCTTTTTGAGGAAATGCCTTTCCAACGTAACAGTCACTTTAATTACCACCACCAGCAATGTCTGAGAGCTTCAATTTCTTTACATCTTCATTAATGTTACTGTGTCCATCTTTTTTATTATGTCCACTCTACTGGGTATGTGGAGTCCTAGTGTGATTTGAACCACAGGGTCGGCAGTTCAAACTCACTAGCTGCTCCTTGGAAACCTATACAGGGTCGCTATGAATCGGAATCAATTAGATGGCAATGTTAACAACAACAATGCCCACCTGGAGTCCTGCTGTGGCACTGCAGGATAAGCATTGGACTGTTAACCACAAACCCTCCAGCTTCTCCTCGAAAACCTTAAAACAGTCACTATGAACCAGAATTGACTCAATGACACTAAACTCCAATGCCACCTAAGATCTGTGTATCTCTAATCAATGAAAACTAAAAACAAGCTTCCCTGTGAAGATTTACTATAGCAATGAACCCTTAGGATTGCTCCCATTGAAGATATTATTCTTGCATCTACTATTGGTTTAAGACTCGGTCTTTGTGTAGCCAATCAAAACTTGCTTTGAGTTGTTAGTCTTACTTTCAAAGACTGCTGTTGTAGTTGTTAAGGGCCATCAAGTCGATTCCAACTTATAGTGATGCTATAAAGGGTTTCCAAGGAGTGGCTAGTGTGGTTGAATCTCCTACCCTGCCATCAACACTCATGGAAGCAGCAGTCAAGAAATCAAATGATGTACCGTAGTACACAAATCTGCTTTACAAGACCTCTTTAAAGTGCTGAAGAGCAAAGATGTCAGCTTAAGGACTAAGGTGCGCCTGACCCAAGCCATGGTATTTTCAATAACCTCATATGCATGTGAAAGTTGGACAGTGAATAAGACTGTAAAAGAATTAATGCATTTGAGTTATAGTGTTGGAGGAGAATATTTAAAGTACCATGTACTGCCAGAAGAACAAGCAAATCTGTGTTGGAAGAAGTGCAGCCAGAGCGCTCCTTGGAAGCTAAGACGGCCAAACTTCACCTCTCATACTTTGGACATATTGTCAGGAGGGACCAGTCACTGGAGAAAGATATCATGTTTGGTACGGTGAAGGGTCAGAGAAAAAGAAGAAGACCCCCAACAAGATGGACTGTACAGTGGCAGCAGCAATGGGCTCAGGCATAGCAACGATTGTGAGGTTGGCACAGAACCAGGTAGTATTTTCTTCTGTTGTGAAGAGGGTCACTGTGAGCCAGTACTGACTCGATGGCACCTAACAACAACAACCTTACCATTGGCAGTCCAGTGATTATCCTACAGCACCATGGCAGAATCACATTCAAAGACTACAAGGTAGCAATATGGCATGAAAAAAAGTTACAACAAGAAGCTACCTACTCTGTAACACAGAAATGCTTTGACACAAAACTTTGCTTTATAAAAACTGACATCTTCAAATATAATGATACGTAGCACAAGTTTCTTGGCTATGGCAGTACATCTATCTTTAAAAATGTCTACAAGTTTTGAAATTTCTATTGACATTTTGGTAAACTTATTCAACAAAAGTCAATTGAGAAGAATCATTTAGAATTTACAGAAAGGCACTGTGAAACCTCTGGTTGTTGTTAAGTGCCATCGAGTAGATTCGGACCCACAACAATCCTATATAAGATTTCCCAAGAGCAGCTAGTGAGCTTGAACTCCAATCTTGTAGTTCAAAGCAACTGAAGTCCAGTACATGAACCCACAGTGCCACACCAGGACTCAAAAATCTATGATACCTACTATTATTTGAGTCCATCTTAGGCAATTTAGTTAATTTCCTTGGGTAGAGTTTAAGATAGACCTAGCACAATGTTTAAGAAAAAGATAGGCAAGAATAAACATTATGTGTTTAAAAATAGAAAAATTTCAATAATGACCACTTTAGTAATTGTATACTAAGGAGCTCTGGTAGCATAGTGGTTAAGAATTGGCATGCTAACCTCAAGGTCGGCAGTTCAAAACTACCGCTGTTCCACGGGAGAAAGATGAGGCTTTCTGCTCCTGTAAAGATTTACAGCCTCAGAAACCCTGTGCCAACTCCACGGTACTTAACAACAAAAAAAGACTAATAGAAACACTTATTCTTCCCAACCAATCACACAGGTGTAGGATCAAGATGGGCTTATAAAATTTCTTGGACTTACCTCATCTATGTTTCTAAGCCATTTGCTGATGTTTTCAAAACTTTTACCATTGGTGATGTCATATACTAGCATAATACCCATTGCTCCTCTGTAGTAGGAGGTAGTGATCGTATGAAATCGCTCCTGGCCTGCTGTATCCCTGAAATAAACAGTCAATAACTTGTATTAAGCATTTTGATATTACTGTATTCCAAGTAAAGAACAAAAGAATAGTTTGGCAAGACAGACACAACTTAAAACCCTCAGCATACTATAATGCTAAACAGAACGGCCATTCATTTCATTTTTACGTATCCAATAATTAAAGCTCCTATAAATATGAAAAAGTAAAAAAATTAGTGACCTATAAATACAGGATAGAAATAGGGAAGTAAACACAACAGAAAGCAGAAACATGCAACTTCTGGAGTTATTTAATGAACATCAACAAGCACCATGAAATCTGTTGAAAATCCATTACATATGTGTTTAAGAGTGCTGGTGTGGCACTGTGGGTTAATGCAAGGATCGGTGGTTCAAGCTCATCATTCACTCCTCAGAAACCCTATACAGGGTCACTACAGGTCAGAACCGACTTGCGGGCACTTAACAACAAATATATCTATGTACACACACACAGTTGTTTTTTTTTTTAACTTTGTATGGGAATTAGGTGAAGACTTACAAAGAAAATCTATTTTTCACTCAACAGTTCATACACATATCGTCACCCCCTAACAATGTAACATCATTTACACCAATTTCTCCTTTTATTTCCTGTTTTCATTCCTCATTTCTAAGCATTCTGAACTTTGTCCTTGCGTACAGGCTGCCCTTTTGATCACAAATGATTGATTATTGTAAAGTGTGCACACCACCCTAGTATTACTGTTCCCTTTATAGACCTGTCCATTGTTGAGCTGAAAACTAAGCCATGGGGTGAGTTCATATTTGAAGGATGACTGTAGGTCATAAACTCTGGGGGTACCATTCATCTTTATATAATCATATAGATACATCTATGTTGTTGTTAAGTGCTGTCAAGTCGGTTCTGACTCATGGCAGCTAGTATAGGGTTTCTGAGGAGTAGCTGGTGAGTTTAAACTGCCGACCTTGAGGTTCAGTGCTTATCCTACAGTGCCACACCAGGACTCTGTAGGTACATCTAATGTTGTTGTTGTTGTTAACTGCCATCGAGTCGGTTCCAACCCATAGAGACCCTGAACAGGGTTTCCGAGGCTATAAATCTTTATGGGAGCAGAATACATGCACACAAGTGTACATATGTTGCTGTTAGGAACTGTTGAGTTGGTTCCAACTGACAGTGACGCTATGCACAACAAATTAAAACACTGCCCCAGCCTCAAAATTTTATGTGTGAACCCATTGTTAGTGCCATTGTGTCAATCCATCTCATTTAGGGTCTTCTTTTTTGCTGACCCTCCACTTTACCCAGCATAATATCTATCCTTCGCCAGGAAATGGTCCCTCCTGACAACATGTCCAAAGCACAAGGGAAGTGGAGCAGTCTGGCTATTTGATTCCTGAGTAGTCTATCTGGTGAGGTCCACATGTTGCCATTTATGTTGTTGAAGAAACATATCTGGAGTGAGTAAGTCACTGGTCTTGCAAAATTCTATCTTGAGTTCTCCAGCATCATTTCTATTACTACAACTGTATTTTCCAACTAACTATCTTTAGTCTTTGCTTCCAACTTTCACATTCCAATCACCAGTAATTATCATCAATACATCTTGATTGCATGTTTGATCAACTTCAGACTGAAGAGGCTGGATGCTGTTAAATGCCGTCAAGTCAGTTTCAACTCCTAGCGACCCTGTATTTCCAAGGAGAAGCTGGTGTGTTTGAATCGCCGACCTTGTGGTTCATAGCCCAGTGCTGATCCTATAGTGCCACACCAGGAGTCCAAATTCTTCAATTTCATTATCACTGGTTTTAGTGGTTGATGTGCAAATTTGAATAATAGTGGTACTAACTGGTCTTCCTTGTAGGTATATGATGTTATCCTATCACAGACAGCAATGTATTTCAAGATGTTTTTTGTTTTTTATGAAAGAGACACCATTCATCTTCAGTCTAGCTTTCCTTGCATAGCAAAAGCAAGTGATTTATGTGATTAACTATATCTTTCTTCAATCCCCATACTTTTTATTGGAAGGGTGGTCTAGTATTCTCTTTAGTTCCCATTATACTGTGGGATTCTGTCACGGACAAGGCACTTAAATAGATAACCAATTCAGCTGACCATCTTCCCTCCCCATCCCAACTCCCTATGGGGGGGGTATGACACAAGGATATCTCTGTCACCCCTTGGCGCTGGTATGGGGGTACTCTTAAATGTTAGACCTTGGAAGAACCCAGGCTGTGACCTCCAGATACAGCATTGAGGGGGAAGAGGGTTCTGATGTCAGAGTCAGAAGACAGAGTTTCATGGCAGCAGCCACCACTCAGTGAAGGGCAACAGGGCAGGGGGCCACAGGAGGTGGGTCTCTACAAAGAAGGGAAACGGCTTGTTCAGGCCTCCTAGAGACTGTCAACCCCACAGAAAAGGTCCTACACTACCTGCACATCCTCCCTAGGCACTGGATAAGTGTAGGATAGGTGGGGGAGGCAGTCATTAGGTGGCGCAGAATTTCTTCCCCCAGTTGTCTGGTGAGCATAGTATAGTACTGGCACAGAGAAGGTATTCATTAAATGATTTTTCTATGAGTGAACAGAGCAAAGGGGGCGTGAGCAAGAAAGCTCAGGCTGGGACCCTGGGACCACGCTTGTCATTCAGAAAATAGCAATTTAAAAAATGTAAAAATCCTTTTTCTATCTCCCACCAAATTCTAGGCTCAGAAAGAAATGGGAGAGGAGTACCTTTATTCCAACCATTCTTCCTCCCCTAAAAAACCCATATACACATACTTATATGGCACTGCCAGTGGGTCCTGGTTACAGGTGGTTAATGTATTTGTAGAGGGTGGGGCTTGGGTGATGGGAGCAGCCCTGGACCCTGGAGAAGCTGAACTCTGAGGTCATAAGAGCAGACCCTACTCCCTAATAGATGCTAACAGATCACCTCCCCTCTCAGGCAGAGATTGGTGGGATTGTATCAGTTCCCATGGAGGCCATGGGAGGGAGTGGGAGTGGTTTCTCAAGCCAGTCTGGATAGTAGTGAGCTGTAGGTGAGTCCAGGCAACAACAGCTACCTTGGCTGCCAAGAAATTTAAAAGTTAATTAAAAAAAAATTAATCACGGCAACTAAATTGACCCACCAATGTCGAATCAATTTAGACTAACAGCGACGCTACAGGACAGAATCGAGCTCTGCCCTAAGGTTTCCAATACTGCAAATCTTTACAGAACCAGACTACTTCATCATCTCCCTTGGAGATGGTTTCAAACCTTTGAACTTTCGGCTAGCAACCCAAAGCTTAACCCACTACACCACCAGGGCTCTTTCCTTTAGAGATAGTTGTTACTGTTGTTCGGTGCCATTGAGTAGGTTCAGACTCATAGCAAACCTACACACAACAGAACGAAAACACTGCCTGGTTCTGAGTCATCCTCACAATCGTGGTTACTCTTCAGCTCATTGCTGGTGTCACTGTGCTAACCCATCTCGCTGGGGTCTTCCTCTTTTCCGATGACCCTCCACTTTACCAAGCATGATGTCCTTCTTCAGGGATTGGCCCCTCCTGATAATATGTCTTAAGTATAAGAGACAAAGTCTCGCCATCTTGGCTTTTAAGGAACAGTCTGACAACTTCTTCCAACACAGATAGATTTGTTTGTTCTTCTGGCAGTCCATAGTCTGACAACTTCAATCTTTTCCCTATTTATACAGATGTAATTTATTGGTTCAGTAATGAGAATTTTTGTTTTCTTTACATTCAGGTATAACCCACCCATTCTTCTCATTTCTAATATCCTAGTTTCTCTTTTATTAGTATTATCTATGTAGTTACAGGATGTTTTTCATCAGGTGTAATTACAAATGGTCTCATTAAAAAAAAAAATCAAAGGTTCTGCCTGCAATGGAGCCAGAGATGATGACGTGGAGCGATGGAGCAGCTGGAGACTTTAGATCCAGAGAGAGAGAGCAACTGTGTGCTGAAGACCTGGGTGGCACGGGGGAAGAATTGCATGGAGGGGATCGTAACCATAGCAATGAGGCGATATATACGATAGAATGAACTTAAAACTAATGTTCTCCCATGTAAACTATCACATAATTCACAATTAAAACATTTAAGAAAAAAAATAATAAAATAAAATACTAACAACAACAAAAAAAAATCAAAGGTTCATCTCATCAAAGCATTAGAAATAGCCTCATTTTCTTTTCTGAACTGGTTTAAAGAGCAGTTAAAAGTCTCCTAGTTAAAATCCAAGACAAAGAGTATAAAGGACCTGGGCTACCAGTAGTGTTTAAAGCTAGAGTGTAGGAGGGATCGATAACCTTCATTTCCATTTCTGTCATAAGTAATAATCACTGTGAGAAAAGTACTCTACTATGAATACAATCCCAACACTTCTACCTATTCTGTATTTCCTCCTTCCCTACTAATTCACGTTACATAATTAGCAAATTACATACACACTTCAGTGTCAAATCTATGAATAATTTTTCTACCAGGAAAGGGTGCACTGCAAAAGAATATTTTACAAAGCCGAAATCAACAACGGCTAAAGGAAATTTTATATTATAATGCTGACTAGCTGAAAAATACCAAATCATGGCCTCTACAAAAAGAAGGGGTTCTGGTGTGGTGCTGTAGGATAGGTACTAGACTGCTAACCACAAGGTTGGTGAATCAAACTCACTAGCCACTCAAAAACGCTATACAAGGTGTCATTATGAGTCATAAACAATTCAAGGGCATGTAACAACAGTAACAAAAAGAAAGGTGGTCATTAAGTTCCATGGAGTCAGTTCTAACTCATAGCAACCCTGTACAGGGTTTCCAAAGAGCAGCAAGTAGGTTTGAACTGCCAACCTTGTGGTGGTACAGTGCAGTGCTGCTCCTGCAGCAAACCACACCAGGAGTCCAAAAAAGAATAAAGGAAAGGTAATCACTATTTATATATGCTTTTGATCTATGGTATACTTCTCCTGGACCAATAAACAACATTCTTACCAACGAAGTTGTT